CAGCCTTAGAAATATAATAATAATAAATAATAATAATAATAATAATAATAATAATAATAATAATAATAATAATAATAATAATAATAATTTTAGGTTAAACTTGCCTAATGTTAGATTATGTACGTAAGGTTTAGTAAGAAAATATATTTAATACTCTACTGATATAAATTTTTTGGGGGGGGGAAAGGAGGAAGAGATCAGATTGTGAGATTGACGACGGAGGATCGAGCCTACACTTTCCACCACGTTCTTCTCTGTCTTATATACTCAGCAGTGTTGGTGATCAAGGGATGTATATACAGAGAGGTGTATTTTTCTCATTTTATACATTAAACGTTGAAGCAGAAGCAGTGGAATGGAGACTTATATACTGTCAAGGTAAGGCGGAGGAAATCTTGACAGAAGAGGCCTGCTGTGTAGGCGAAACGTTTCGGAAAAAAATTGCCGAACTGCTACACATGTGTCTTACCTATCAACGTTTCGGTATTGTATACCATTATCACATTCACATTGTCATGCACTGCAACACAAAGGTATATTGATATAGAGGAGATTTTCTTACTTCTACTAGTGGGTCCCGCCTCGATTTTCAAGATTTTCACCGTCTCACCTCGACACTGTGAAAAACTAAACTGTAATGAATACTTGTCAATACTCAGCAATAACCCACCTGAGGAAAGAAACTCGGAGGATTAATTAATCTGCATATATCGACCCCCTTCTGCTGAAGAAGATCGCAGATGGGGGTGGGAATACACAGATCAATTAATCCCCTTTGTTTCTGTCTCCATTTGGATTATTGCTCAGCACTGTCAGTATGTATATAATATACTCTAATATTTACCTTAGGGATTAAAGTATTATTGTTTGGTGGTAAAAATATTACGTGTAACATTATCCTGCAGCTGATAATCTTTAAACCCCATTAGACAATTATTAATAAATTGTTGGAAAGAAATTTAGGTACATAATTTAGAGAGATGATTGTACATATCTTGAAACTAATCGACGTGTGGAGATTAGCAAATTGTTTCAACTATGTTAAAGAGTTTTTAAGTCTGGGTTGAAGAGTTGAAATTAGTGTAGTTGACGGAGATAGTGATTGAGTGGGTTGTGGGGTGTTGGTTGTTAAGAATAGTAGTGGTGGTAGTGTTGGTAGTAGCTATGGTGCTGGTGATAGTAGCAGCTGGTAGTTTGGTGGTTTAAGCTGGTAGTTGTTGTTGTTAAAACTAATAGGTATCTGGTGTTGTTATTTAAGCTGGTGGTTATGGTAGTTTAAGCTGGTAGTTATGGTAGTTTAAGCTGGTGGTTGTGGTTGACCTAGACGATGACACAATAGTGTCAACAGATACAGTGAATAAACAGAGGTAATAACTGTTCATTATGACACCTTGTCATTCTGTTTCCCCTCTGTTGATCTGTTTTTATCTGTCTCGTTGCCTGTCTGTCTCTGTCTCTCGCTGTCTCGAACTCGTTATCGTTCTCTCTACATCTCTCTCCCTCTCTATCTATCTATTTCCATCTATCACTCATATTTATTTATGACAACATTCCACTTCTGTCAATTCTCCATACCCTCCCTTCCTCCCTTTATCCTTTTACTTCTGACTTCCTCCTGTCTTCCCTTCCTCCCTCCCTATCTCTTTATCATCCTCTCTCTTCCTTCCTCTCTCTTCTCACCTGCCCTCAGAAAGTAATTAATACGAATCAATGTCACGATTCAGCCAGGCAGTAACCTCAAGTCAGGAACAATCAGCCTTCCCCCATTACTCTCTCTCCTCTCTTCTCTCTCTCTCTCTCTCTCTCTCTCTCTCTCTCTCTCTCTCTCCAATACCCGAGACTTTTAAAAGAAGTTTCAACACTGTCAGAAGCACCATTATATCTACCTGCATTTGTCGACTCACTGGTCACAAATTATCTTAATATTAATTAATTCACTAATTAATTCATTTATTAATTTGTAACTACTAATTACGAATCATAATTACATTACTACTAAATTAAAACATATTGATACTAATAAAACAGTATTTATATAATAATAATAATATTAATAATAATAATATAATAATAATAATAAATAAACAAATAATAATAACTCCAAAAAATATTTGTATTCAATCCTACATTTAAATGAATATTATGACTGATGGTACGATTTAATTTATTCTGGCGAAAGAAAACGATTACTGAGATATTTTAAAGCGTATTCACAGCTAAGTAGCATATTATAAGTATATAATATTCTGCTTGATATATGTGACTGAAAGCTAGAAAACTCATAAAATATATATATACTAATAAAAATATAATAATATATATATATAAATATATATAATAATATATATATATAATAATATATATAAAATATATTGATACTATAATTATAATGCATATTATTCACCTTGGTCCTTTGATTTACGTTCGATATACAATTAGAACATCATCTAGTTTAAAGTGTGTGAATAAGCAATTTGTTGACGTTTTATACAGTGACGTAGAAAAGTTCTAACACTTCATCAGAAGTATCCAAATTTTTGTAGAGGATCAAGTACTCTGGCCAGGGATTTCAGTCACTGTATTATCCAATATTTGATGCCCTAGCAATGTCACAGCGCTCATACTTTAATATCAAGTGAAGTAACTATGCTTTTTTCCTCCTGAAGATGTTTTGTATTTATTTGAGATACAATGGTAATATAATGGGTACTTTGGAAATAGGACTATGGTACTTTCAAGGCAGAATTGTAGTAGTGTTTGGTAACACTTACCGGTCAAGTGGTGTGTAGAATACATGAGTAACACTTGCGGGTGTCCTTTATTCTAAGATGTTTCTGCAACCACAGTGATTTATTAGTTTAATAGTGAGGTTCACTGGAGAGTGATTACCCGAGGAGAGTAATATGAAGTGTTTTCACATAGTCTCATGAGATGCTCACTATGGCAGTCTGATGACTACGTGGTGACCACCTTTGTCTAGGCTGAGGACTGATTACCTGGTCTCTCTGTCATCTAGTTTCAACACTTTTATGTAGCTGAGGACAAGTATACCTGGTCTTCTACTGTCTCTAGTTTCAACACCTTCATCTAGACTGAGGGACTGATTACCTGGTCTTCTACTATCTGCAGTTTCAACACCTTTATGTAGACTGAGGCACTGATTACCTGGTCTTCTACTGTCTCTAGTTTCAACACCTTTATCTAGACTGAGGGACTGATTACCTAGTCTTCTACTGTCTCTGATTTCAACACTTTATCTAGACTGAGCATGATTACCTAGTCTTCTACTGTCTCTAGTTTCAACACCTTCATCTAGACTGAGGGACTGATTACCTAGTCTTCTACTGTCTCTAGTTTCAACACCTTTATCTAGACTGAGGCACAGATTACCTGGTCTTCTACTGTCTCTAGTTTCAACACCTTTATCTAGACTGAGGCACAGATTACCTGGTCTTCTACTGTCTCTAGTTTCAACACCTTTATCTAGACTGAGGCACAGATTACCTGGTCTTCTACTGTCTCTAGTTTCAACACCTTCATCTAGACTGAGGGACTGATTACCTGGTCTTCTACTGTCTCTAGTTTCAACACCTTCATCTAGACTGAGGGACTGATTACCTGGTCTTCTACTGTCTCTAGTTTCAACACCTTCATCTAGACTGAGGGACTGATTACCTGGTCTTCTACTGTCTGCAGTTTCAACACCTTCATCTAGACTAAGGGACTGATTACCTAGTCTTCCACTATCTTTCGTATATTTCTATACTGAACTGAAAAAGGCACTGACTGCGAGCCATCTTCAAAATAAAAATGCCCAGGCGTTGCACACTGGTCTAATTTATCAAGAATTCTTCTTACTAGTAAAAACCAATTATTTAACTCTCCAGACTTTAATTTAAAAAAAAAATCATTAAACTGTTTTTATATTCTAATTTTGAAATATTTATAAGTCAGTTTATTATCGCTAAAGAACTGGTGATATTTGCGTTTATCAACGTTGGCGCTTATCAACGTTGGCGCTTATCAACGTTGGCGCTTATCAACGTTGACAGATTCGAAGATACACTCAGGATGAGATGCACTCAGTGAGGCTTTTCCTTGCATCTGTTGAGCTTTCACTCAAAACACTCTAGCCATGGCGGGTGCTCCTTGTAACCAAGCTCCCCTCATAATGGCGGGTGCTCCTTGTAACCAAGCTCCCCTCATAATGGCGGGTGCTCCTTGTAACCAAGCTCCCCTCATAATGGCGGGTGCTCCTTGTAACCAAGCTCCCCTCATAATGGCGGGTGCTCCTTGTAACCAAGCTCCCCTCATAATGGCGGGTGCTCCTTGTAACCAAGCTCCCCTCAGATATTTCACTAACCCTCTCGCTCAATTAAATTATTGATGTATATATGCAACCTTTCTCTAGAAATCTAAATGTTAATATATTGTAGCATTCTACTTAGACATGACTCGGGAAGAAATATATTATTTTAGTTGCGATGGAAGTTCATTTTCATTCTATTTTTCTTCGTGTCAGTTTAAATATATTTCACTTTATTAACTTTTTAGATGGATTCAGGAATAATCTAGGCGCAATAAACTTTTCTCTGTTTCTAAGCACAGAAAATTGTACTCAAGAACACGAGTACAAAAGATTACTTCTGTAGGACTTCTGATTAATGTCAGGCAAGTCCAACTCTCACCCTACTTTTCCCACTTATGTCATCGGCTAACCGATTTTTATAAGTACCTAAAGTACTCACTTCAACGATGCTACTTGGATGTTTGTTCAGCTTATCCATAACTCTGTTGCCAAACCATTTTTTTCCAATACCCTTTCTAAATTTATATACACATGCAACTCGAATATCTTCACTGCTAGCATTATCTTATCAATGTTTTCGAGATTACTATAAGATGTACGTAAACAAGACACTGTACTTCACATTCTGAAAAAATAGATTCGTATATGTAAACTTAGATTTTCACAGTTGTGAACGTAACAACCTTTGGCGCCATCAAATGGTCCAGGATTCATGTCCACAAGACTCATTATTTATACTCGTATAAATCTTAAAGTTATCTTATACGAGATGGTCATGACCTTATGATCTACCACAGCAAGGAGTCATCCATATTGTACAATATAAGCAAATGTTCGCTCCATTGTCGAAACTCACGTTAAGTTGTGTCCGTCCGTATGAGACTGCAGATTAACTGGTTATGTCTGCTGGTACAAAGGACGCTAAGACTTACTTCCTGCAGTTCTGTAAGCTCACGAACACTTTTTCTCACGAGTCTCAGCTGGGGTTCAAGGAGACACTGAAACTAACTACGCTTCAAGGCACAGTCACAGGCGGGAGGACAACACTAACTCTCCTTGAGTGTCACATTTATGGACTCAGTTAACCAAAGTCGATTTTTTTTCTGTGATTTTGGAAACACGTCTTCCAAAAGTCCCTGCACTGCTAAAGGATTATCTTTTTTTTGAGCAAATTGTCTTGAATTAGAGATACTTTCACTTAGTGTAGTACATTTGCTCTGAGTTTTATGCTCAGTGCTCAGGAGAGACTGCTAAGTGTCGGCCGATTGTTCTTCTTAATGGAAATAATTTACAGAAGATCACTTAGTGATCGTCACATAATTTGGTTTTGTTGTCTAGAGTTCAAAGGAATGATAAACTCCAGATAAGATCTCTTATGCGGCTGAGAGCATGTAAGGACATGTAGATAGTCCTACATGCTGGCTTCGAGATATGCATTATGTACGCACCCTAAGATACGCATATGTACACGCACTTAGAGACACGCAGGCAAAACTCGTACGATGCATTCGCACTTTTCCCTCTAGCGTTGAACTTTGGGGAGGACGGTGGCGGACGACCCAGCTAGGCGAGGTAAAGGGTTCCTGGAACAAGGTCGTCTTTGGAGACACGACTCTAGCCAAACTAGATGACCCACTGGGCGAGACAAACAGCTCTTCTGGAAAAGTCGTCTTCTGTCACACATTCTCGTTCATGCAACATTTTTCGTCTTTCCATACATAGCTTTAACCAAACTGGACGACTCTCTGAACTGTGAAACAGGATGATGATCCCCGGCTGGTCTTGCCTAAGGTCGTCTCAAAGAATATTGACGCTGGGGAAGTGAGGGACAACCAGAGTGACAGTGTCGCTGCTGGGAGAATCGACCGACTCAACTGTAGGAGGAGAGGCAGATGAAGGAACAACTTTTAGAAGATGAGTCGTCCATTTGATCTATTTACATTATATAATTTACAAACACGTATCATACGTAATGTATAAACGCATGCTTACTATGTATGGGAGGCAGCGGTGGCTGCCTACCATCACCATCTGGAAATTTAGAGCGAGCCTCTTCCTCTCTCCCGTCAGCTGACTGGAAACCTCCACTGTTATTATTGTTGTTCTTGATGCTAGTGGAGAGGATGGCCTCGGATGACCTCACGTAGGCAGGGGGAAGCTTAGGCAGCATCATGCCCACCACCCCCAGCGCCGTCTGGGTGTCGAAGAGCATGTTCGGGGGGCTCTTGGTCTGCTTGTTGTCGAAGTCGGTGTTTGCGACGGACGGATCAGAGCTTGACGAAGCCATGATACCCAGCGTGGACGCTAGGTAAGCCCCCGGGGACGCCAGGGATTCGCAGAGGGACGCCATGCCTCGTCCGGCCAACGTTGACCCGGAGGACGTTCTGCGAGCCAAGATGGAGCTTCCAGAACTGAAGGTCGCTGAGCGGGGCTGTGGCAAGAAGAAACAATAATTTAGAGCAAATTAAGGAAGTCTGGCTGCAAGAGTAGAGTTTGTGCCAACGACTGTATAGGCCTTGTGGCTTAGCGCTTCTTTTTGATTATAATAATGTGCCAACGACTAGTGGACGAAGGATCGAGCCTCCGCCAGCCTTTCCGCTCAGTGGCCATGAGTACAGCGTCCTTTAATAATAAAAATAATTAAAATATAAGTGTGTTATGGAACTAGATAATCCCAGGTAGAGAGGATTAGGATTTCTTTTATTGGATCAGGCAGAATCCTATTCGATTTGTATCCCATACTGGTTTAACGCTTCCTAACAATGTTAATAATAATAATAGCCACACTAGTAAGTGTTACAGATTGTTAAACAAGAATTATTTGGTAAATATATTTAGAGCATTATGCAAAATCAGCGTTATTTTTTTAGTCATTGGCCAGGGGATAATGGAACACCGTGGCCAAAAGACTCTCTCAGGTGATGACGGGACTCCCCCAGGGGACGATATGACTACCCCTGGTGAACAAAGCACTCCTCAAGGGAAGCTCCTCTTACCTGCAGGTGCGTGGCAGATTCCCCTTGCTTACGAGGATTCTTGACGAGGGAAGAGGTGATCGTAGGATCCAGGATGGGCGGGTGTAGGGGCGTGGGTGAACTGCTGTAGTAGGAGTCACATCCTGCAGGATACACAGGGGTCAATACGGAACAGTTACTTCGAAGAAGAGCTTGCTATAGGGCCCGTGGGAACCTGAGGCTCCTCCTACCTCTGTGGAGATATTTAGTATAGGTGAGTACAAATAGGAAGCGCGTCTGTCAGGCGCTCAGTAGACGGAGGATCAAACCTTCACCGCGTCTTGCGCTGAATGACCCACATGGGTTAAGCGCTTAAAATTAATTAATATTTTGTAATAATTGTATATATAAAATGTGGAGATATTTCCTTTAAAAAACCTAATGCAAATAGGTACTCTTTATAACATCAGAATTGTAGGGTACCTACTATCCTAGTGTAGATGTTAGGACACTTCAAAAGTTAATTAAGGTTCGGTAAATCAAAGTCAAAATTTTAGTTTATTAGATTTAGGTCCCTTATTTTTTAGCACTCAGGTTAGGACCCTAAACCTAATTAATAGATTATAGTTACAAAAACCCAATAAAAGAATTATTACCCCCTTAAATAAAAAAAAAAAAGAGAATTTAAATCCCATAACTCAATGAGACGATTTAGGTGAAATAAATAAAAAAAATCGGGTCCCTTAAGCCAAAGAAATTCAAAGAGAGGATTTTGATCCCTTAATCAAAAGAGGATTTTGATCCCTTAATCAAAAGCAGAGAAAATCAGCGTATTAAAGAGACGTAAAAAGATAAATTAGGACCAGAGCCCCATTGCTTAGTAGGTTAATGAGAGTTAAAGCCAACTGACTGCAGCAGGATCATCAAGGCTGCATATATACCGTCCATCACCAGTCAGGAACTCTCTATTCCTTAAAATAAGAATTAAGGTGAAGTCTCAGTATATATTCTAGATGTACAGATCCTGTGTGAGCATTGTTATACCTGATCTACCAGCTGGGTTATATATACCAAACTACAGAGGTTGTATTTAATATGTATTTAATAAGTGTATTTTCTGAGTCCATCTGTAATAAATTAGTTCAGTGTCTGAGAAATAATACAACACGATACTGATTTATAATGTATATATATATATATATATATATATATATATATATATATATATATATATATATATATATATATATATATATATATATATATATATATATATATATATATATATATATATATATATATATATATATATATGCAAAACAACCACTCTGAAAGAATAGAGAAATTCCAAGCGCTTTCGTGACTACTCACATTATCAAGGAACATTATCATAGTTCCTTGATAATGTGAGTAGTCACGAAAGCGCTTGGAATTTCTCTATTCTTTCAGAGTGGTTGTTTTGCATATTTTGAAATCACCTGTTTACTGTGATCTTATTGCATATATATATGTATATATATATATAATATATATATATATATATATATAATATATATATATATATATATATATATATATATATATATATATATACATATACATATACATATACATATACATATATATATATATATATATATATATATATATATATATATATATATATATATATATATATATATATATATATATTACATATACATATACATATACATATACATATATATATATATATATATATATATATATATATATATATATATATATATATATATATATATAATATACATATACATATACATATACATATAATATATATATATATATATATATATATATATATATATATATATATATATATATATAACGATCATAATAACGAATAAAAATATCACTGATTAAAAAACTGAATGTCTACTCTAAAGTCATATTTGAATTCACATTATTATATATAATTTTCAAATTATAAATTTTTTTTACACATTTTTACATAAAATAGATACAACAGTATTGTATGCGGATCTTGCATGCAACAACACATAAATACACTCAACATAGGAGCTACAATAACTAGGTGACAGTGATGCAACACAGAATGTGCAGGAAAAACGGGTTAGATATGTATAAAAATTGCATTAGGAGAGTATAACAGGGATTTAATCCTTTAGGATTATGTATTATATATGCTGGTTTATTGGGACGGTTGTCTAGATTTTAGGATGTGGTAAGGCAGGATTTTGACTGTGTGTGTGTGTGTGTATTATTACGTCTCTTAGCTTCTACCTCTCAATTATCAAGAACTCAATATTTCTTTGCAACTCACATAGTCTCGCCTTTTTACTGCTCCACTAAATTATCGGATTATTTTCCCTTTGTTCATTTCAAAGGCTAGGGAATACAACCACATCCCTGAATGCCATCCACTACAGGTACCTATTTACAGTTAGGTGAATAGGTTCAGAAGGCGTAATAAGTAGGCTTGACCATGTGCCTCCATCCTGATCATTGGTTCTTATGTACGTTTGTCTCATATACAATCAGCTCCTAATTATATGTGTGGTGTTGGTGTTTTCAGTTTTGTTTACAGCAGGAAAGAGTAGGATCGTTAGGAAGTTCGACTGGTTTAGGGACTCTAGGCAGGCACTAGACACGGGCTAGTGAGCAAATTGGTTAAGAAGCGGATAGGAGAGGGACTAACCTGTAGGTACTGGCTACGGGTGACTAAACTGTGGTTGCTAGCGTTGGGTGACTCCTACTGGTACAGGCTATAGGTGACTAAAATGTTTGTACAGGCTAGGGGTAACTAACCTGTAGGTGCCCGGGCCTGCAGGGGCGGCTGGTAGGCAGGGATGGGGTATATATCATAGCCTGTGGGCGGCCTGGCCTGCAGCGGCAGAGTGAGGCCACTCTGGCCTGTAGTGTACAGGCTGAGGGCCTTCAGCCCACCCACCTGTCCATAACCATTCAGCGTGCCTGCAACACCAAGTGGAGGAACCTGATGTAGAGGGTGAGACTTGAGCTCCAGGAGACACCACCTGTGGACGACTGCTTCGTGGACACGACCTCTGACGACCCAACACATGGGGGAAATGAGACGTCGGCATGGCACTTGTAGTCACTGGGTCTATAACACCAGTCAGACATCATCAACGCCACGGGGTTCACCATAATTATCACAAGTCACCATCATCCACCACCGCCATCAGCCAGCGACTCGTTTCAATCACCTTGATGTTGCAACTCTGTGACAGTGAACAGTTGCAACAGCAGCCACAGCAGCGGCAGCAACAACAGCTAATAAAGCAGTGTAACAGCATCAAAGACTTTGTAAGTCTCACGGAGGAGGAAGCGACCATACATAAACACGACCAGACGTTCTACACGACCTTTTCCGACACAAGAAAGGTTCTCCATGACTTCTCAGGTACACCGGTGGTTCTGCACTTGCGCACTAGAAATAGTCCAAGACCTTTTCTAGCACCCCAGAGGACGTTCACGACCTTCCCCGGCACCCCAGAGATCGTCCACCACTTCACCGGTACCCCATAGATCGTCCACGACCTTCCCCGGCACCCCAGAGATCGTCCACCACTTCACCGGTACCCCATAGATCGTCCACGACCTTCCCCGGCACCCCAGAGATCGTCCACCATTTCACCGGTACCTCATAGATCGTCCACGACCTTCCCCGGCACCCCAGAGATCGTCGACTACTTTCCTCATTCACCTCAGACGTCGTCCATGATCTTTCCAGCACCCTATAAACCTCACATTTCACCTCGTGAGCTGACATATGCAACATTATGCTTCATTTTAAACCAAGAATACAAGTAATAAAACAACCAGCATATCGAGCATTCATCATGTGTACACAGATTTATTGCTAACAACAAAGATAACTTTTCAGGGCTATGACGTTTTTCCATATGTAAATAATTGCAATGGACAAACCGAGAGAAGGAAATTACTCCTTAGACTGCCACAACCAAATATGTCTTCGCAACAGAAGTGACGTTTAGTGCTTACTAGACGCCTGTTGTATGTAAGATTGTTAGTCCAGTGGATTAGGGCGTCTCGAGTTCTTAAACAAGCTACCTGGGTTGCGTCTTGAAGATCGAGGATTCGATGCTCGGCCAGTGCAGTTGTTAATTACCCTTTCAGCCATGGAGTTCACAACAGGAAGATTTTACAGCCAGGACAACTGTTACTTGGCTGCATCAGCAGCACCAGTTTAGACTCCCACTGTGTCATCCCACAGCTCCAAAAGCTTTCGTGGTATGTCTTTTCTCATTCCCCTGAGAGACAGATTGTTCAGAGACTCAAGATACGTTGTTATGAACGTATATCAATCAATAAATAAACTACTAGACGGAGGCTCGAACTGTGGTCCTTGTAGATGCCAGTCTTAATGCTGCAAACATTCAGCCAAGGAGTTTACATTGTAAGACACGTACATAACCTAGGTATCTTTATTATGAAGACGTTTCGCCAGTAAGTGTCTTTATCATGATACTCAGATGTTACCCATGTATCATATGCGTCATCTTGTCGGTAACGCAGACCATTACAACTACCATAGCATTTTAAGCTCCGTCTTAATAATATCTTCTCTACCCATTCGTAGTTCTATACCGTCTTGTAATTTCTATGCTGCGAAATATCCCCATAAAATTCACACCCCACACTCCTCTTAAACGTGACAGCTCCACTGCCTCTTCCTTGCTGCAATGTTTGAAGACCATACCTCACACCCATATAAACGTGCTGGTTTGATTATACTCTGGTACATTTCCCTTTATGGATAAACCTGTTCCTCTCCACAGACGCCTTAACACTTTACCTAGTTTCCCCCCCCCCTTCATCTGTTCTATAGTTCCCTTCGTATTTCATAGACCCATCTGCCGAAGGGTCCACGCCTAAATATACAAAAACATTGCTTGAACTTGGCAGTCCAGCTATAGAGGTGGTACTTCCATTCACATATATATATATATATATATATATATATATATATATATAATATATATATATATATATATATATATATATATATATATATATATATATATATATATATATATATATATATATGTTTATGGGATAACAACAGTGAAAACACAGGAAGTTAAAACATAGATGAAAAACAAGTAAATACACCTCGTGCACTATGAAATCTTTGCCAATTATAAATTTGGCCGACGCCTCCTGTAGGTGTCCATGACGTTACCCATCACGTCGACAATAACACTCTTCTATCTTGATCAAATGAGTAAAGATTAATTACGAAGATGAAAATAATTTTGTTAGAGCTGGGTATGTCTAGCAGTTGTTGATCATTATGGTGGCCACTTAGTATTGTATATTTTTTTAATTTCTTTGGATAAATTCAATATTTCTAACCCTAACTTAATCTTGTGTCTATGGGATTAGACAATTAATACTAGAGCACTATTGCCCCAACGTAATCCATTATAGATTAATAACACCGAGGTAATCCGTTATATATTACTAGCACCAATGGTATTAGCTTAACAAAACATATAATCTTTCTGCCAAGCTAATCAAAGTTGTTAGATTTTCTCTCTGGTTTGCTAGACTCTTGATAATCATATCTGGGATAACATCTACGATGGATTTGCTTAATTATACAAGCAAAACTAGATTATATCTGGTTTTCTAGTTTTTATGTTGTAATTTGGCTTAACTTATATAAAGATAAATATTCTGCAATACTAGAATTAATTAAGTCTGTTTTCTCCCAGTTGTTGACCTTATAATTATAATTACCCTAATTATAATGAAACATTCCGTCTATGTAGTTTTCTTCCATTAACCCGTCTTGAACTCTGGTTAAAATGTATACTCAAAAGTATACTAATTTATCGTGTATTTCAAGTTTGTAATTTACACTATGGTTACAAGTCTTTATGTGAATACTGTGGACGATTAAAAGAAATACGATTTATACAAATCAGAACTTTGCAAATTTCCTACCGAGTCATGTGGCAAAGATTCCGACATCACTTGCTGAATAGTGTTCTAAAGATCTGACGTGTTGACTTACGAGGTAAGAGTTGATAAATTAGACACATGTGCAACTCTTGGGTATCTTTATTATCCTCAATAAAGATACCCAAGAGTTGCACATGTGTCTAATTTATCAACATGTCGGTTCTCTGAACCATTCATCTACAGAGGTAAGAGTTGTAGAGTACACACTTGATACCCAGGCCAGCCATAGTTCCAACTTCATTGTCTCTGATAAAGTCCTATTGTGCTTTATGCTGTGGGTATCTAAACATTCCACTTCACATGTTAATTTGATTACATATATATATATATATATATATAATATATATATATATATATATATATATATATATATATAATATATATATATATATATATATTTATATATTTTATTATTATTTATTTTTTTTACACACACGGCGATTTACCAAGCAGGTGGCTGGAAAAATGACTTCAAAACATACTGTGAGAAAGGGTTATTTAACAACTTTCAATGTTGATTTTAAACTTCTTGTATTAAACTTAAAAGCATCCTCAGATGCCTGCACTGTAACTGTCCTGTGGACTCAAGTTCGGCCTGTGGTGTTCCCTGATCCTTCATAAATGTTTTTGCTCGCCACTCCAAAGCACGCCAGTATTAAAAACATTTGTCTACCATTCACTCCTATCAACACGCTGCACGCATGCCTGCTGGAAGTCCAAGCCCCTCGCACGAAAAGCCTCCTTTACCTCCCTCCCTCCAACCCTTCCTAGGCCGACCCCTACCCCGCCTTCCTTCCACTACAGACTGATACACTCTTGAAGTCATTCTGTTTCGCTCCATTTCTCTCTACATGTCCGAACCACCTCAACAACCCTTCCTCAGCCCTCTGGACAACAGTTTTGGTAATCCCGCACCTCCTCCTAACTTCCAAACTACGAATTCTCTGCATTATATTCACACCACACATTGCCCTCAGACATGACATCTCCACTGCCTCCAGCCCTTCTCCTCGCTGCAACATTCATCACCCACGCTTCACACCCATATAAGAGCGTTGGTAAAACTATACTCTCATACATTCCCCTCTTTGCCTCCAAGGACAAAGTTCTTTGTCTCCACAGACTCCTAAGTGCACCACTCACATCTTTTTCCCTCATCAATTCTATGATTCACCTCATCTTTCATAGACCCATCCGCTGACACGTCCACTCCCAAATATCTGAATACGTTCACCTCCTCCATACTCTCTCCCTCCAATCTGATATTCAATCTTTCATCACCTAATCTTTTTGTTATCCTCATAACCTTACTCTTTCCTGTATTCACCTTTAATTTTCTTCTTTTGCACACCCTACCAAATTCATCCACCAATCTCTGCAACTTCTCTTCAGAATCTCCCAAGAGCACAGTGTCATCAGCAAAGAGCAGCTGTGACAACTCCCACTTTGTGTGTGATTCTTTATCTTTTAACTCCACGCCTCTTGCCAAGACCCTCGCATTTACTTCTCTTACAACCCCATCTATAAATATATAAATATAATTTTTTACACCATGCACGGGGAGTAGTTATAAACAGTGTGGTTGGAAAATGCTCAAAACAACTGAGAGAAAAATTATTCCATAACAACTTTACAAGTGTTGATTCTTAAGACATTTCTTAGTATTAAGAACTGTACAGCATGCACTCAGATGCCTGTCTGTATATGTCTGTGTTGTATGTTGTGTGTGTGTGTGTGTGTGTGTGTGTGTGTGTGTGTGTGTGTGTGTGTGGCCACTGTGGCCCAGCACAGCCACCATTCCAGGGCACAGACCTGCTAGAAGGTTGTCCATGGCACCGGTGAGTTTGGGTGTGATGCCATCCTTGAGTGCCGTCTGGTGGTAATGTTTGATGGCGTTCATTCTACGGTTGAGGCCACTCTCTGGTCTGGGCTGCCTGGCTGCCCGTCTGGGCTGCTCCACAGGCAACACTCGTCGACGTTTCTTGGGCAATTTTGACCTCGCCTTCCCGGGGAACAAGGGACAAGAGGGCGAAGCACCCAACGGGCCGACATGCAGACAGAAATACACGTGACAGGATGGTCATGTAGCGATCATTTTGGAAACAGGCAATGGGGAACATTTGAAATACATTAGATTTTTAATCATAGATTGTTTGCATCAGACTGAAACAATAACTAACAGAGCTAAATAATGAGTTTGAATGTCGTTGGAAAATAGTCATAAGCCGGAGTAAATCCCACATCTTCTACCTATCCTTTCCTCCCTGCTCCTCACATTCTCCTCTCCCTATTCTACCCCTCTCCTTCCTGCACTTAAATCTCCCCTCTTCCCTTCCCGCCCCCTCTTCCCCTCCTCAGATCCCTGGCAACAACACACCTGAGTATGACTGTAGAACATAGAGAAGTTTGAAACAATAACAGGCACAGGAAGGGAGATGGTCAGCACTCCAGCCAAGGCACACAGGGCACCCACGAACATGCCCACGTAAGTTTTGGGCACCATGTCCCCGTACCCCACCGTCGTCATAGTGACGATAGCCCACCACAGCCCCTCTGGGATGCTCTTGAAGTCATTGTGAGGATTGGCCTTTAAAGAAGACGAGATCAGAGGATTTGTTAATGAGTTAATTAGTTTCAAGGTTTAGAGATTACACTATGGATATTTAGTGTGAATATTCCCTTAATCCCTAAAATTAGTGTATATATACATCTTAGTGTATATGCACTAATTTTAGTGCATATACATACTAGTATATACACTATCAGTAATGAAGTTAAGGTATACTATATCATTTGGACGAATAAAGGAACGATTAATTAAAAATAATTCCAATATATTTGTAATAATTTATATAATTAATATGATAATTGATACGATAAATCATATAAATGGTAATTAAAATTTTTGAGAGTCATAGTAAAGCAAGAAATACAAAACTATACCAAAAAAATAGACAAATGTTAACGCAATATATCAATTATAAATGTATTAAAAATCTATCAAAAACTCAAACCATAAAAAATTAAAAAAAAAACTGGAGCAAAATTCCTTCCTACACTAAAATATGAGATCATAAAATATTTTTAGATTTGAATTCATACAGGGAAGAAAAATATATTTATTTAATTTAAATTTCTACTGCAAAAAAAAATGTGTATTAAAATAATGCTTGTGCAGTAAAAAATCTTTATTCATATATGAGAAAAATCACAAATTTTTCCCCGATAAATAAATTATAGAAAGATGGCGTCGTTTCCCAAATTATTTCAAGAGAGAGGATTCCTTTTTTTTTCTTTTCTTTTTTAATTTTATTGGATTTAGTTAATACACACACACACACACACACACACACACACACACACACACACACACACACACACACACACACACACACACACCTGCAGTCTCTCGGCGTAGTAGACGAGGCTGGCGAAGATAACGATGCCCAGGACGAGGAAGAAGACAAGCAGTGTGAGTTCCTTGGCTGAAGCCTTGAAGGTGTGGATGAGAATCTTGAGGCCGCCAGAGTGTCTCGTCAACTTGAACAGTCGCAAGATCCTGATGATGCTGAAGAACTCTATCACTTCCGCTGCTTTCCCTGCGTTGTCGTCTTTATAGCAGTCACCGTCAGCGTCACCGTCAGCGTCACCGTCAGCGTCGCCGTCAGCGTCGCCGTCAGCGTCGCCGTGGTATCATCAGCGCCAACCAAAGATTAGGAAGATGGATGGGAAAATTAGTTAAACACTAATTAGCCAGTGTAAGGTGAGTATTGAGCAGCTGTCAGTGGAGTTCTCAACTGACAGAGTGAGAGAGAGAGAGAGAGAGAGACAGACAGACAGACAGACAGACAGACAGACAGATTAGAGAGAGAGAAAGCGAGCTTATTACACACTGAGGGTAGCACAGATGACACTCGTCAGCACGTCGAAGTATGACAACACCGCCATCAACAACATTATATCAGAGGATCACCGTTCAAGCGACAACTTGTGCTCATCAGTGAAGACTTAAACAAGAGAAAACTATATAAATCACGTTCATCAGGCATGCACAAACACATCATTCCTCATATTCCTTCGTATATTTTTTCCTAAGCAACCTACATTGTCTTTTCTTTGCCTTGTCTCCATTTATCCTCCTCTCTGCTCCTCTGGTCCCTTCCTAGTCCCATCTCGGAAAGCATTCTGTTGCGTATTGCAATCTCAGCCACGTAGACATGATAGGAGGAAGCTAAAATGCATCTTGCCTTTCTCAGTAGATAGCCTTGATTTGGACCGCAGATTCTCTTCTTATCTGTCTTTCCCATGCACTTTCAAATTCCATTCATAACTTTTCCCTTCGTATCCTTCGTCTTGTCTTTATTTCTCGTGTCCCTTCTTTGGTTGTCAATGGTACGTTGATACCAATAAACTGTGAATGCGTACATTTATATGTAATTCAGGATATTTATTAAAGGAAGCGTTTCGCTACAAGAAGCTTCTTCAGTCCTAATCTGAAGAAGCCATTCAGGGCGAGACGTTCCTTCTGATAAACAACCGCTCCTCCCATACCTTTGCCAGCAAACTGAGTCTGGTTGAGGATAATATCCATATAGAAGCTGAGCGTGGCCACGAAGTCGATGATGTTGATTGTGTTCTTGACGAACTCCAGCTTCATGGGCGTCACTGTGAAGCGCATCAGGATCTCGAAGGTGAACCAGGCGTTGCAGGCCGCCTCCACGTAGAAGAAGGCGTCGTGGGGGTCCGTCCTAGGGGTGAGGAGGTGTTCATGTAGCACTGAGGTGGTGCTAAAGAAGGTGTTTCGGAGATTAAGGTGTTCAGGCGGAGTAAGAGAGAGATACTGTAGGGCTCAGGTGGTTCTCAGAAGGGGAGCTTAAATGATGCTTAAAGAGACGTGAGAGAGCTTAAAGAGATCAAGGACGAGTTTGGGTGAAGAGTGATGGAATTTTTTTTAATTAGTTAATTAGTTTAGCTGCTTTGGTGGACGCTGTTGAGGTCATTATGTCTGTGGGTCTTAATAGACACAATAAAAGGCCTCAATACATCAGAAGGTCTCGATAGACACAATACATGACCTCGAAAGATACAATTAGGCCTCGAAATATACAATAGATGGGCGTAGATTTAGATATCAAACGGCAGTTGAGGGCGGTAGTGTAATTATTGACTTCTAAGGTACTTGTACCACTCCTCTACCACTGGTACTACAGCTTTCACTACACTACCACTACCACAACCACTGCCACTTCCCTGACCAGTATTATTGTCCTCTACCTACTGCCACATATTCCCTACATTCCCACCTAACCCTATCCACAAAGTCAACCCTCACCCCCCACCCTCCACTCACCTGTCCTTGTTGAGGTACCAGTAGGTGAGGTTGGTTCCGTTCTTAGCCAGGTTGGTGACAGTCACGTTGACAATAACTGGGACTCGCATGTTGGGGTGAGTCTTGAGGCAGAACGACAGTATCGACACCACGATGAAGAACACAGACAACATGGCGATTACCTGCATCAGGGAGAGAGGAAGAGGAAGAGGAAGTTGAGAAGAGGGAAGGAGAAGAGAAGGATGAAGGGAAGGAGAGAGAGACAGAGAGAAAAAAAAATAATGAATAAGAGGTAATGTGAGAGATGCAAACTGTGTCATCAGACGCATGAACACGTTCAGAACACCACATTGTTGTCTAGTTTCTTCACTCTCAGGTATTTAATAACGCCAAGAATATTAACTGTGGTAGCAGGCACGAGTAATTCCTGGTTTAATATTCACCATTACAGTTACTGAGTATTTCCTTGTTTGTAGCAACAGGAGCAAGGACAAGGAATTGTGTGAGTGTGTGTGTGTGTGTGTGTGTGTGTGTGTGTGTGTGTGTGTGTGTGTGTGTGTGTGTGTGTGTGTGTGTGTGTGTGTGTGTTTGCCTTACAAGGGAACACATGCATTTGTCTTCTTTTTCTTCCCCTAAAACATCTCAAGGATTTCACTGTTTCACATTTATTTTTTGATTCTCTGTATATTTATTAATAGTGTTAAAAATAATGATAATAATAATAATAATAATAATAATAATAATAATAATAATAATAATAATAATAATAATAATAATAATAATAATAATAGTAATAATAATGTTTTTACTACCCTAATATTTCACTACTACTATTACTAATCATAATAATAATAATTATTATTATTATTATAATAATAATTAATAATAAAAATTATTATAAAAGCATTTCTTCCAGGCAGGCTCTTGGCGCTGATTGGTTAACGTCATGTTTACCAAGGCAGATCTGAGATGCTGATTGGCCACGTCATTGTTTACCCAGGCAGCAGAGTTACCTGGGGTGACAGATAGCACAGTTTAGACTCTCTTCCACTGGCCCTTAAAGTAATGATGTTTTTAAAGTGACTCCTGTCTGTGAATGCAGAAAAATATATATTGATATTTGATGCAAAAAATATAAATATGAAATATACGATTGTATTTGTTGCGTTAGATCTTGGAAGGTCTCGACCATCTAAATATTGTCACTTATATACCATCTTTGTATCATTTCAAGAACGCCACCACCACTCACGTACATATAACATTCACTTTATCCCTCCAGTTTATCAACTACGAAAATAGGACCTCTTGGTGGCGTGTGGGAGTGTCTGCTCTCTCTGTCTCCTCTCAAGGTGTCGACGGGGCTAGGAGATTCATTTCTCACTATGGCGACGCTTCAAGACACTGATAAATGCGCCACTCGATGGGTAAACACGCTGCTGGGGAAGGAAGGAGGGACGAGGCCACAGTCCAGGCGCCTGTGACGATAGTCCGCACTCCTGCGTCGATAGTATGGACTTATGCGCAGGTAATTTTTTCTCCTTCGTCAGTAATTTGGATTCCTGCGTCGATAGTTTGAACCACTGTGACGGTATTCCGGACTACTGATATGAAAGTCGATTTCACGTCCAGAGAAATTATTACTAGGTGGAGCTGAGATAGTGGACAGGAAGCAACACGAGGATAATTAGCACTGTAACTCATACTCAACCATCCTCCTTTACCTCTCGTTGCAAGAGAGTACACGAGCCAACATTTCGATGCTCCTTATGTTGACTTACCAAAGCTCATGCAATAGAATATGTATAAAATATACGATGGTTTCTACAAGGTTTTTTCATGGGTAAGCATGAGGTTGATGCTGCCATTTTCTGGCCATAGTGCCAACGTCTGGTATTCTAAGCCACATTGACTAGTAGCGCCTTTATCATAGTGCCAGATCAGTGTCAGTTTTTTCCCCTGAGGGATAAACTAATGATAAGAATAGTTGGTGTCTTAAAATACATCTTTGTCGACCACTCTTCCCATAGTTGGTTTGCTCATGGGGTTTGAAACCTCTCTACTACATGTCATCAGGGCTGTATGTCGCCTGTACAGCACCTGTCAAGAACACTTTCAAAACTAAATCAGGGATTAAAGAAAAAACCCAATAAGAGCCACACTTCACTGGATGTGTATACCCAGTCACATAATTAGTTGCTTGCCTGATTAATCGTGATTAAGACCTATTGACACACGAGGGTCATTTAGGCTACGTCTCACTTGTTTATCTCCAATCGACAACACTTGGATCTTAAATATGTACATTTATAAATTAAAGTAAACTCTAATTATACATTAACTGAGACGTATATTCTTTCACATATACATGCAGTTTTTCTCTCAGTTCATATACATCAAGAGAATTATACATCTACGAATATATGCAAACTCTTCCCTAGTTTCAAAGTCTAACTGTTATGTTTTTTGATCTAATTCTAGTGTGTCAATACAGGGATTTTTTTCTTCTCTGGTTTCTTGATAAGAAACTGGAAAAGCTAAAACTTTAAATTTCATTATTGTCTATTAATTTCCCATTATTTCTGCTGGGGTTAATTAGGCTGTTCTGGTCCTTAAATATAACTAATTAATTATAATGGCCAGAGTTGTTCTAATTGTGTCTGCTATTAGCGGATCTCCAGGTCTAATTAGGTATTAATTACCTAGCATACCTGACCCCTTGCTGCCTATATATAACTCTCCCTCCCTCTCTCTCTCTCTCTCTCTCTCTCTCTCTCTCTCTCTCTCTCTCTCTCTCTATTTATTTATCTATCTATCTATCACTCTATCTGCCAGATACTTCTTCGGTACACAAACATAATTATTTAATCTATGAGGCTGAAAAAAAAATTTAGGAGCGTATCCCCTCCGCTCTCAGTACTCAATAATAATTAAATATTAATGAAGGGAGAAGCAGAATATGCAAAGAAGATGGAGAGAGAAGCAAGGAATGGAGAGATAGATGCAAGAAATAGAGTTGGTGGGGAAATTCTGGGAAGGAAAGATGGGAGAGCGAAGGAAGGGAAGAGTTCAAAACGGCGAGTGATGGAAAGAAGATAGGCAGACAAGATAAGAAGAAAAGAAGTGGGAATAAAGAAATGAGATGGAAGGATGTAACGTATGAGGCAATGAGAGTGAGAGAATATATATATATATATATATATATATATTATATATATATATATATATATATATATAATATATATATATATATATATATATATATATATATATATATATATATATATATCAAACATTCTCAGGACCACTTTTCGTATCCCATCAACAAGATCATACCCAAGGCACCATCTTGCCCCTTTCTCCCTCTCCTCTGGTTTCTTTCTCCTCCTTCCTCTCTCCCTTCTTCTCCCTCCTTCTCTCATCAGTAAGAAAAAAGACTAAGGGATTAAGGTTGAACGATAATTTAATGAGGCTGATGATCAGACGAGGAAATTATGGAAGGAATTGAATAATATGAGATAAATGAGGATATTTTTAGGCAAGCATAACGAACTTAATGGTTATGAGAGAGTATGATAGGCAGATAGAGATAGATAGATATAGATAGATAGATCTTTGTGTTCGTAATGAGTGAACTCAAGGATGTCTGTATTATCATGTGAGTTTGTATTGAACCCAAAAGAGGTACCCGGTACCTTGGTTCCGGGTACGGGTACGCTCTACCCGGTGAAGGCAGTGAATTTAAGACTTAGTACTGTCTTCTTGCTCGACTCTCACCCTTGGAATCTTACTAGGGATAACAGTCAGTCTTACATCCAAATCTTTTGGTATGTCAATGGGAAAGCCCCTTCGATGGTTAAGTTCCTCTTGATACAACTTGTTCTAATTGTCAAGTAACCAAAGCAACTATATTACATTAACGAAGTTGATGAAAAAGACACATGTGTAACACCAGGGTATATTTACTAATGCAAAATAAAGGTACACCAGGTTTGCATATGTGTCAGATACAAGGATGAGGTGCCACCAATAATGTTTCCAGAGAGTGTAAGTGACGCATCACTTACACTTCTCTGAAGCGAGTCGAGTAAAGTGTTCCGATTTTAATCGAACTCAATAGCCCAATTAAATAAATGCCATCAAAGCACTTACATTAATGGGTCACAATTAGAAAACATTAAACAACATATTAATTATGACTCGACGTGTTCTCTTCGACACAAACACTTTGAGACCTGAGTCACACACACACACACACACACACACACACAGTTAATGGCTTATCAGTGTTACACAGCAGTGCTGGAATTTGCCTTTGTTGGCAATGCTAACTTCATTTGTTTTGTATGTGTTAAGGTAGAGTTGTGTTTGCTACGTCTGTTAGATTTGTGTTTGTTAGGGATATTAGAAGTTCGTTAGTTGGGGCTGTTAGAAGTGTGCTGGACTGTTGCGCGTTTTTTGAGCAAATACCATTATTTTTTAGAGCTCTTTAAAGTCCAGCCAGCAGGAATAAACCTCATTACACCTCGGCGAGCAGATATGCATTTTAGATTCGATACGTTCACTACCTCGGCTTGATAACCCTCGTGCACGTATCACGTGCCTTGAACCAGAGACATCCCACTTACGATAATATCAGAAGCTTCACGTGCAACACTTCTCTCTCAAATCATTTATCACTCGCCACTAGCCTTGAAGGCTCTTAAAAAAACACAACGTACGAAGAACACACTACGTACCAATCACCACAAACGTGTAATACACCTCGTAATACCTACCAGACACCATGTACACTCACGTACCTTTGCCATCCAGGAGGAGTAAGGCTCGTCAAAGAGAGAGCAGATCTTGGGTCTCGTTCTCTGCCACCAGGTGACGCGCCCGTTCAAGTAACTCTCTTCGTAGCCAAATTTTCGGGCTATCTCCTCCTCCGAGGGTTTGTCTGTGTCCACGTCCAGCTTGTCCAGGATGGCCAGGGTGGCCTGCAATGAGCGCACTCCCATCACTGAGCGTTCAGCGCAGATACGTACTACAAAAGTAAACTCTGAGAGCAGCGTCAAGGCAGAAGGAAATACTAAAGGCTAAGCATTCTGAAACGGTGTCAAGGAAGAGGTATATATTAGACACGAAACATTCTGAAAGCGAGTAGAAAAAGTGTTAGTTTTCCAATAACAGGGTGATAAATTTCCTTTTCCTGGGATAAATGGTTCCGTGTTCTTTTTTCTCCTCTCGATTAGCGAACGGGGGATCGAGACTCCACCATTTCCTCGTGGCGAACGACCCATAAGGGTCGTTTCACATAAATTAATAAATATGTAAGTGGATATTTGGATGTTCTTGACACAGTCATTTTTTGGGGGGTTGAGGGGGAGGCCTAATTCAGTAATTTTATTGGAATATCTAAAAAGTATTGGAAGGAGCTCGTGGTAGACAGCTCGGCTAACAAACGAAAGAGCCAGGGTTCGATCATGGGACTATTAGAGACATACGGACAAGTCTCCCAACACTTGCTTCCCTTGTTCACTTAGCAGAGAACGGACACTTTATGAGTCAGTGGGCAGTTGTGGACCATATACAAGCAGGGAACCCCTGTCGACCCTAACTGAAATAACCCACACTGCTTGGCTATCGTGGATTATCGCGCTTAATCATTTTCGCCACTGAAATACCCTTCCTGGGAAAGTAATCCCAAGGTAACTCTTTTTCCCCCTGTCCAGTAAAAAATAATTCGTCCTCCTTTACAGTGCGGTGAATGAGGACAACCACTTTCCTGCGAGAAAACTAATTAGAGAAGAGGTCAGTTATTGAGGCTGAGAGAGAGGGAGAAGAAATGGGGAAAGTTGTGTGAAAGGGAGTGGAGTGAGGCGGAGTAGAGGAAGGTTGAGTGGTGTAAGGGAAGTGGAGTGTGTTGGAGTGGAGTGAGGCGAAGTGGAGTAAGGTGGAGTTGAATAAGGGGGAGTGGAGTGTGTTGGCTTGGAGTGGAGTGGGAAAGAGTGGAAGAGAAAGCATAGAGAGGGGAAAAGTGGGGGATTAACAATATTGTTCCTCCGTCCCCTCTTGTTATAAGTGTGAATAGAAGAAGGGGAGTGAACAAGGATAGTTTAAGAGAACAGGACAAGAAGACAACAAGGGGAGATAGAACAAGGGGAAAGTTCAGAACGAGAGAACAGAGCAAAGAGACAGAACCCTGCGAAAGAACCAGAGAATAGAACAAGGAGATAAAACAAAAGAATAGAACACTGGGACAGAACAAGATAATAGTGCAAGGCGATAGAACAAGATCACAAGAGGATAGAACATAAACAGAACAAAGGAGACAGAACGAGAGAAAATACAAAATAATACAGAATTCAAACAAATATATCAACCTTCATCAGTGTATTTTCTGAAACTGTGGTTCAAAACTGTGTTCGTTCTTACGCTTTTCTCTAGGGGCTCACCAGGAGAGCTTCAGGGGCTCACCAGGAGAGCTTCAGGGGCTCACGGAACGTCCCTGAAGAGTACGCGGAGAGAAACGGGCGACCGCAATGGTACAAACACTATAAAGAATGATACACATATGTAGCCTTTGGGAACCTTTGTAGAAACCTTACGCCAACCAATGGCTTCTTCAGTCCAATACGGAGAACAAGACCAGGAGAACGAGATATTTATCTCCATAAAAAAAAGACCAGTTTTATGTGTCTCCATAAAACTCGCCAATTTTAATTGTCGTCTAAAAGACCCGGGTTTATGTTACATTTAAAAAAAATTGTTTAAAATAACACCGCGTAATTTAAATGCAAGAAAAATCATGCAGTTTGTTGCAACGAAATTTATAGTCTTGCAAATAAAGAATCTTGAAAGTATATGTCCCGTGAGCGGGTCTTGTAAATGAGTCCTGTAAATGAGAGTTTTGTAAGTTAGTCCTGTAAATGAGGGTTTTGTAAACGAGTCCTTTAAATGAGGGTCATGCAAGTTAGTCCTGTAAATGAGTCTTGTAATGAGTCCTGTAAATGAGGGTCTTGTAAATATGTCTTGTAAATGAGGGTCTTGTAAATATTTCGTGTAAACATGTCTTGTAAATGAGGGTCTTGTAAATATTTCGTGTAAATGAGGGTCTTGTAAATGAGATATTGTAAATGAGGGACTTGTAAATGAGGGTCTTGCACTGGAGTACATGTGAAAGACAGACAGCAGAGGACATTGGAGTCCACACTGAGGCTCTCTGCTCAGAGATACTCTCTCTACTTCTGTCTAAATTTAAGATAAATGTGTATTCTTTAGGTGATCGAGGCAAGAATAGTAAAGCAGAAGGCTCTCTCCCTACCCTTCACTCCTTCGACCGCTGCCAGAGTGAAAACAGCGAAGGGAGGAAGGTAAGAGGAAATATATCACATCATATTGGGACAAAAAATTGACCTGAAATTTCAGGAGAGATGGAAATGGATGAAAGATATGGGCAACAACTATCTACATCTATGACCGAGTCAACTATCTGCTTCTACCACTATCACTCGTTGTCAACTGGCCCTCCAGACGCAATTGCTGAGCAAACATCCGGAATATGTTGATTTCAATTTGGCAGAGTCTCACGTCAAGTTGAATACTACGACTACAAGACATACCGAGTGCTGGTCCAGCTGAGTCTTGAGCGACTACATTGTCATAGCGTCTACAACTTCAGGGGGAAGTTTGTTTCACTTTCTATAAATTCTCTTCGTATAAAAACCGTACATATGTTCGTGTTCCATCATCTGCCTCGGAGTTTCAGTCCATTGTTTCGAGTTATGGGCTCATTTTGCACCCCCCAGAGTTCTTCGTGTGTGAGGAGAGAGAGAGAGAGAGAGAGAGAGAGAGAGAGAGGAGAGAGAGAGAGAGAGAGAGAGACAGACAGAGAGAGAGAGAGAGAGAGAGAGAGAGAGAGAGAGAGAGAGAGAGAGAGAGAGAGAGAGAATAGTAATTGCTCAAACATTTCCATGTTACCTGTGTGTTACTAAGCGTTTCTGCGTCACAGTTCACTTGCAGATTGTGCTTATTTCTTTATTACTGAAAATGCTATAAGCCCGTCAGGGCTCAAAGTGCTCTACATCGAGAGCTGTTTGCTCCCTACAGGTTTAGCGTGTCAACCTTATAATAACAATAATAATAATAAATATAATACTAACACTAATAATAAAAACAACAATAATCACCATATTGATAATAATAATAATAATAATAATAATAATAATAATAATAATAATAATAATTATTATTATTATTATTATTATTATTATTATTATTATTATTATTAATTATTTATATTATTATTATTATTATAATGCTATTCCATCCCTTCGCAAGGCTGCTAGTGATACTTGAATCAAGGAATGAGAGTTACTCCTTCCCTTTCCAAAATTAAAGCAGATTACTTCCTATTCATCAGGCGCTCTATGACCCTTACGAGTTAAGCGCTTCCCTAAGATAGCTCCGTATGCGGATGTAATGTTGATGGTTTATAGGGCCCGATACAGCTTACACCGTATCGGGCCCTTATATCCTGTATCCCGTAATGTTATTAATGTTATTTACTTTGCTCTTTAAATTTAATCTCAGAGATTTAAATCCCTCCCATACAATGTGTTGTGTATAACCCTGGTATTTAAACTCATTAAGCTCCGTCTAATTAGAAAATGGTTATAATCATAACCATAATACCAGTAAGCCAGCGGAAGGCTTCAGTTAGACGAGCAAAAGCCCAGCTGCGGGTCATTATATGCCTAGGATCCTCGACAGGAAACACTTGTCCTGTTTCCTGACAAACCTTAATAAGTACAAGGCATAAACTACCAAAGTTAAGACAGATATTTAAACTTAGCTATATAACTCCGACCTTGTCGCTATGACATTTAACCTCGTTTTTAAAAATAAGCCATTTAACTCTACTCTTAAATCTTCACCGTTTAGACCGTTTATTCAAACTAAGCCATTTAAACGCAGTGAACTTTGCTGCCTCAAACTCAACAGGTCTTTTATTTTTCATCATTTAAACTCAGGTATTTAATTTGTATATTTAAATGATTATTTAAACTGTTGCTGACTGGAGTTCATGTTTTTTTCTGCTGTTGTTGTGGTGTTGTTGTGTTATGTAGCGTGTGTTATGTGTGTTGTGTTATTGTGTGTTATTTGCAGTGTTATGGAGTGTTATTGAGTAATGAGGTATTATTGTGTACGTGTAATGCTACGTGTTATGTAGTGTTATTGTGTTTTGTGTTATGTGGTGTTATCGTGTCCCGTAGCTTAATCGCTAGCGCACTCAGCTCACACACTGAGGTCAAAGGGTTCGGTCCCCGGTACGGCTGGAAAACACTTGGGTGAATTTCCGTAAGACACCTGCTGTCCCTGTTCACCCATCAGTCAAATGGGTACCTGGGTGTTAGTGGACTGGTGTGAGTCGCATCCTGGGACAAAAGTGACCAAATTTTCGGGAAATGCTCAGCATAACAAGCGACTTTCTATATAGTAGTATGTCACTGATGTCAGCTATGGTCTGTATACCTTGTACATGTACTTGTAGATATAAAGATATTAATATTATTATTATTAATTATTATTATTATTATTATTAAGTGGTGTTATTGTATTATTTTGTGTTGTGTGTTATGTGGTGTTATTGTGTTATGTGATGGTATTGTGTATCCGGTGTTATTATGTGGTGTTATTGAGGTACGTGATGGTGTTGAGTGATGTGCTTTTATTGTCTTGAAGGTTTTATTGTGTTAGGTGGTGTTATTGTGTGTTAGGTGGTGT